TCCTTAGCTTGTTGCAGCTAGCAGGGCAGATTCCCATGGCACCTTCAGTAGTAAAGGTGCTCTCAGAAGAGGTGATTCAACATACCCATTACCCATTTGAAGTGGGTCCAATATGCAGCTTGGGGACTAGCAAGAGGAACATGTGGTAGCCCACTCAAAAACAGAAACTTTAGAGGCAAAGTGCCAGACTAGATAGGTGTTTCTTGCACCAAATCCCTTCTTCTCCAAAACTAAATCCTGGCTGTTGCCCGGATGAAAATTCAGATCTGACCTAGAAGCATTAATAGCTAAGCCAGGTGGAACCACATGGGCTACTTGGCTGACAGAGACAAGCTTGCATCTCGGAGGACAACACGGTCCCATGCTCTTCTCCACTCAGCAGACTCTAGTAGTTCACCGCAAGAGGTAACCAGCATGTAAACCAGAAGGCTCATAGCTGGAGCTCTGGCTGATCCTGACAGGCAGAATACGAGATGAAATCTGAACTGGAGCATAAAGACCAAACCACTGAGCATAAGAAATTGCTTATACCACTGGTCCATCTTTCTCAATACTGTCTACACTCACAATTGATAGCTCTCTGGGACTTCAGACAGACAAGGGGGCCTTTCCTAGCCCTGCTTTGTGGCATCATTTTTAAACTGGAAATTCCAGAGATTGGACCAAGGACCTTCTGCACGGAAGGGCTGTGCTCTACCAGTGAGTCACAGCTGTTAACGCTAAATGGGAGAAAACACCCTTTTCAGTCATCTTTTTGAATATTCTCCCACTGACCTTATTCTCACTATACCTTTACAAAAGTGTTGTAAGACACTAAAATATGATGCAAAAAGATGCATATTGATATTGATCCTTAGGATTTGATTGATTTGATTTGGGATGGTTTTCAGTGCAAATTGTCGACACGACAGTGGTTATGCTGAATGGCAAAGTTAGTGCTTAAAAGGGATGCTTATCCTGGCCCCACTGCTGGACCTCCTGTTAGGACCTGGTATTTTTGGCCACTGTGTGACAGACTAGATGGGCCATTGGCCTGATCCAACATTGGCTTTTCTTATGTTCTTAGGCTTTTGCTATTGACCATCTAAAATCTCTGACCCTGGCCTTTGACCAACAAATTGAAGCAGTAGCAAAAAATTATGCGATTTGGAAGCAAGCCTCCCTTCTAGACTCAGCTGATCTAAAATGGAAAAAAATGCTACCATAATATCTTGGCTAGATTAATAATTTTTAATGGCTTGTTTTTTTATACTGCAGCTTTTAATTGCAGGCTTCCTTGAGCAGGACTTTGAAGTGGTGGCACAGAAATATTCTAAATAAATAAAGCTAAACATGAGCTACACTTGTAGACGCATCAGCTAGTGCAAAATATGGCGACATCAGCTTGCAGATGTGGTGCATTATGAGCACATTGTACCTGTGCTGAAACAGCTACACAGGCTATCAACATTGCTTCTGGGCTCAATTCACCTACACCACGCCTTCAAGACGTGGGGACTACATATCTGAGGGTCTTTCACTCCTATCATAAATCTGTGCACCAAATTATATTTTATTACTGATTCAGAAAATGTATTATGCCCACCTCTCCAAAGACCTGCTTATGACAGCTCATGAAGTTAAAATACAATAAAATCATAAAAATAATATTTTTAAAAATCAGGGGCATAAAGAACAGCAGTTTAAAATGAAATCCATAAGACTGTCCTCAGGCTAGAAGCTGATCATAAAAACAGCTAAAAACACGGAATCTTTCTATTAAAAGCTTGGGTAAAGAGAACTGTTTTATTTATTTCTTAATACATTTATACCCCACCTTTCTTTGCGGTTCAAAGCAGTTTATGAGTTAAAAGCATTTCTTGTCAACCCCCCCCAAAATTCCTAAATCTCCCCTTCCCTTCCTCCCCACAAAAGATGCCTGAAAATTCAAACCGCCTCAAAAGCCCTGGCCAACAAGCAAGCCTTACAGCACCTCCTGAAGATGCTGCAAGGAGCCCCCCCCCCATGAGGGAGCCCATTCCACAGAGCAGGAACCATGATGGAAAAGGCCCAGGGCCTGATCGAGTCCAGACGGGCCACTCTAAGTGATGGGATACCCAGCGAACGGATGCCTGAAGACCATAGTTGGCGCACAGAGACACACAGAAGAAGGTAGTTCTTCAACAATGTGCTTTACAGTTCATGAAGGGCTTTAAAAATCATACCCAGCACCATGAATTGAACTCGGAAACAGGCTGACACCCGATGTACCTGTTTCAAAACGGGCAATGTAGGTTCCCAGTGACATTGACAATAGTTGGGCTGTTGCACTCT